GCATGGTCGACTATGGATTGCCAAATTTAACAAGAAATGTGAAATATTTAAAGTGACGGAATACGTGATGTTGAACAGAAGTAACACAATTGTAGCATATAAAACAGGTATGTGTATTTGGCTTCAGAGGAAATGGACGTCAAAAAAAGTTGGCAGAGGGATTCTGGGAGAGGAGTGGTGCTTGCATATCACAGAAGAATGTAGGTGGATGAGTTCATTTTATTCCCATAGAACTCAACGTTACGCAAAAATCTAGTAATTTCTGCGTATATTCTGCTTCAAGTTAATGCAATTTCCAATTTGTTTTGTTGATTTAACGAAAGAAAATTACTCAATACCTCTTTTCCCGTAATTATGCAATTGTGCTCCTCGCGACTAGAATACAATGATATTAAGAGTCACTTCTTAATATCCTTCCAAGCCGGTTCGCCTTTTGTAAGCCCTTTAAGAAATTGCTTACATTCTCTACACTACCACACACGTTGGTAGCTTCGAGTTTGGGGCAGTTCCCCGCTTGTGGGAGATACCTGGTAAAAATCATCAACGCCTCACGAGGAAACAACATGCACTATATTTACGGTACTAATAGCCTTGGCAGGGTACATTTATAGTACCAATGACCTGGCATGCACGGAAACAAGATAATCAGTAAATCACTAATCTATCCTTTCTCTTTCCCTGTTTGCCTTCAGATTGGGATGAGTTGCAATCTGTTTGTTCATCAGCCCAAAACGAAGTTTGTCCAAAAGCCCAAATCGAAGTTTGCGTAAAAGTCTTTCATCGCATGGTCGACTATGGAATGCCAAATTTAACAAGAAATGTGAAATATTTACAAGTGACGGAATCGTGATGTTGAACAGAAGTAACAATTGTAGCATATAACAACAGGTATGTGTATTTGGCTTCAGAGGAAATGGACGTCAAAAAAAGTTGGCAGAGGGATTCTGGGAGAGGAGTGGTGCTTGCATATCACAGAAGAATGTAGGTGGATGAGTTCATTTTATTCCCATAGAACTCAACGTTACGCAAAATCTAGTAATTTCTGCGTATATTCTGCTTCAAGTTAATGCAATTTCCAATTTTGTTTTGTTTGATTAACGAAAGAAAATTACTCAATACCTCTTTTCCCGTAATTATGCAATTGTGCTCCTCGCGACTAGAATACAATGATATTAAGAGTCACTTCTTAATATCCTTCCAAGCCGGTTCGCCTTTGTAAGCCCTTTAAGAAATGTGCTCATAAGTAATTGTGCGTTGCAATAACGTTAATAGAAGAGCTACAAACATTCCTTTGAAAAATGCACATATGAATAAAACCATCTACTTGTTTTAAATTTTTAATGTCTTGGTGTAAATCAATAGAATGGGCTCGATTACAAAAGAGAATGTTCCTCTCGATAAACTTACAGAAAAACAATAAAAAAATGTTATACTTTAATCACACCATAGTTAAATTTAAACAGAGATGTTAGTTTTACTTTCTCACCTACTGCTTACGCCTTACTGGGAAAATATTGTAATGCGAGGGGAAAAGGGACGATTTGTTGACAATAAAACATATTGCGGGGCCTTTGTAACGAGAAAGTTGATAAATCTTATTTAAGGAAGTGTTTGAATCTACAGTATACAATATTAAATTATGATTGTTTTTAATCATTGAGAGCATTCGTTGTTATATGAATCTTTTTTCCAGAAAAATGGAATATTTCACACTCGTTCTGATCGTGTATCGATATTTAAAAAAAAAAATCGTATTCAATAATTGTTGTTAAAAGAACTGAAAGTGTAACTATGGATTTTAAATTTATGGCAATAATATACATGGAGAAGAATGTGAAAAAAAGTTCTGAAATGTATAAATTTTAATAAGAATATAATGTTTAATTGGTTCAAAATTTTCCCAAATTACTTACAGACATAATTCAGTTATCGATATTTTAGTTTAAAACGAGTCTTTCTCGAGGGGCAGGTTCTCTTTCCGAGAGGCAGTTTGGAGCGGCCGTGGTCGTTGGCTGCTGCCGAGACCACAGACGCCACACCTGGCCGGATATTCGCCCCCGGCGCGGCGCGACGCGGCGCGGCGTGGGCATTGCATGCCGGTATTCAATCGCAATCCGACGCGTCCAGCACAGTTCTCCGAATTCCTTCCAGAGAAACAGAAATAAAGGCATACTGGAAATAACTTTCTCGTTTCCACCAAAACTGAATTAGAAGCGACCCGAAGGGATCGAAAAAGCTATTACCAGAAGTCACTTAAGCTGAATGGAAGCTTCGAATCCGCATTGTGCGGCCCGCGGCAGCCCCCGACATGATGGAGGTTTTCCATTTAACGGTGAGACATTAAATCCTTCAGCGCACCCGACACACCGGGTTCCGGAATCTCGACAGTTACAAAAGGAAACAACCGAAATTAAGAGCGCTTGTCGTTTTTTTTTTCTCTCTCCTGATTCGTCGCTCCTCTTTCCTTTCCCAACCAAATGTTCCTTTTCGACTACCGGACGGGAGTGCCCCCCTCCCCCCCCCCAAAGAAAAAAAACAACAACCGAAGGCGTATTTATTAGCGAGATGGGTCACTGAAAAGGGCTCCCCCACCCCACCCTGAGATTGAGTGCCATGTTAGATTAAACTAATAACACAATAGCTCGCTCTGCAATGCCTCGGATAGCTTCATCAATCAAGTTCGGGGGGGGGGGCGAGGTGTTGCAGCGTTCGACCGCAATCGAGTCCTTGTGAGTTCCTGCACGGGCCCCCTCCCCCCCCTCATTAACAGCATTCGCGTCATTGCTCTGTTCGCGCCGAGGCTCGGGGCCTACGACGGACGGGCGGGCGGTTAACGCGGACGGCCGCCGCATCGCCCCACGCTGCCCGGGGCGCCTCGGGCCGGCGGTAATGGCCTTTTTGTGGGCCGTAAACAGTTGACAATGCGGTCTTATACCGTGGTGTCACCTATAAAAGGAACTGGCCGGATGAAAAGTTATTTTAATTTGATACGCTTTATTACCGATTCTGACGCCAAAATGAAGGTCAATACGGAATAGGCGGGCGCCGAGGGGCCCGCCGCGCATCTTGCACGCTCCGGGAGGCGGCCAAAGAAGCTGACGGCAATCACGCGGCGCCGCGGTGGCGGGGCGGCCTTGATTGGCAGCCCTGCTGCTGCTGCTGCTGGACGCGGTTCGGTTGGTGGCGGGCAACGAGGTAGAATATGCTACGTAGAGTGGCTGGAGACAGAGGCGGATTCAGGGACAAATTTTGGGAGGCTAAATTATCAATGTTTTGTCGAAAATTTCACATTACACGCGGGAAAAAAAGAACTGTTGCAGTATACCAGATCCATAATACTGTAATAAGGAGACTTGTTACAGTATCACGAATCTGGTAAACTGCATACTGAGTACGGATATTTTAAGTCGTTGCATGTGCATGATCTTATTTAAAGATTTTACTTTTTAGAGCAAATGTTATTCACAAATTTTTAATATTTTTCCATTAAATATTTTATAATGTGGCACTTAATCTCAAAGGGAAGTCAAACAGAGAAGAGTCCAATACAAACAATAGTTTAATAATGTAATACAATTTGAAAACCCTGTTTATGGAAAAACGCTGTGTTTTCAACCAATTGTCTAATTAATATCGTAATGTAAAGAAATGTTAACTATATAAATAACAATACGTGATACTTCTGCATGCGTTACATACAGTGTTTAGTTTTTTTTATGAAAATAAGTAACTGCAATCAGTAGAAATTGCAATTCCCCCTATATACAATATGCTAAAAAAAGACGATTTTTCCCTTTTGTTAGAAATCAGACACAAAACCCCTAAGTGCATCACAGCTGAATAGGGAATTATTTTCAGAAGAAAAACAAGCTCGAAAATTATTGTGCAGGTTAATGTGACGTGAAACGTCGTTTTAAACTGGTTTAAAAATATTTATAATGTTAAAATTTCTAAGGCGTAGGGATGTAGCGACCCCATCGCCCTGCACGCTCTTACCGGTGGGTGGGGAATGCAGCAATTAGCTTGGTTTCTCCTACCTAGAAAGGAGTGGCTGACCGCTGTCCGTACCTGTAAGATATCCTTCTTACCTAAAATCCTTTCCTGAACCCCGGGAGCCAATGGGTGGATTAAGTAGCTCGGCGGCTTTCGTATTCTAACCTTATCCTTTCCATTCCTTTTCTCTGTTCAGAAGCAGAAGTGCTTCAAATAGGGGTAGATTGAACTCCGGAGTTCTGGAAGACACTCGATCCAAGGGGAGAAAACCTAAAAGAAAATTACTAGGTCCTTCTGGAAGGGGGTTGAAGCATGAGGCCAGCACCCCAATACTCGGAAAAATATAAAAAGCCCCTTAAAATTCTCAATCGAAATGAGCCTCGGATTAACTCACGACTTCGACAAAGGCAGGGAAAATGGTATATGAAAATGAAACTAGAACTACTTTACATATTTTACC